TTTTTTTCAGGAGAGAGCATTGAAATATTCCTACGACGCTTTGCAACCCTTAACATACAACCCGTATTCTCCGATCTTTGGAGAATAAACCAGATAACGAAGCTAGATTCTTGATTTCAGAAGCCGGTCGGTGCAAGTCGTTAAAAATGACTTCGTTTATATTCCGTTTACATCAAGTATCGTGTAGATCGTATTACAATGATCCAAGCCGACTGACGATTTTAATAAGACAGAAGAACATTCGCGTAAATTGTCAAAGAAGGATTTGCGTAAACTGACTTGCATCGATTGACTTTTGAATCTTTTTTTTTTTTTTTTTTTCTATACCTTCACGACATTTTCGTAATCTCACAGTCTTCGCTACCAATGATTTCAATCCCTAGAGGTGATCGACGAAAAATCTACTACTAAATCTCGACTAGAACGATGATGTCTACCAAGTAGAAGAGCGAAGACCCTGATCTTTGGTACCGTTCCACGCAGAACATGCTTGGAATACTTAATCCTTCCCAGCTTCTCGATCTCAACTCGGCCGTGCGGTTTATATTGTTTACGTTAATACGATGTTTGCAGAGGCGGGAGGAATGTAATTAATGTTTGTGGCCATAGTTACGCGATTATAGAATTCCATGTCATTAAGCCAATTACGACGTTCGCGTGCGCGCGCGCGAAACTCGGCCCCTGGTTTTTACCATTCCGGTGCAGAGAGCACCGCGAACGCAATCGCGATGAACGATCGTAGCCGTGCTCCATCATTACGGCCATTATTGCGAAGGAGACGATTGCCATTGGCGTGATTCATCGACGAACGGCCACGAACGATCCTTCTCGGACTTGCGGGTGGGCTTGCGCGATACGAAAATCAATCGCAACACCTTCTCGCCTCCCTTCCTCCACTTCGGTAACGACGTTTATAGACATTTGTTCATTCACAAAGGGCAGATATCGACAAAGTGAAAGATTGGCGATTTTAGTCTTGGAACTTGGAGAAGGACTTGGAACTTGCGAGTCGATGTATCTGCGATTTTCGTAGGAGCCACGCCGCACGATTTGACAATTTTGCGTTTCTTACGTAACGATGGGCAGTTGCGGGTTCTGCGAGTCTAACTTTGAAGTTTTACGTGTCACTGGTAAATTTCATTACGACGACAGCGTCAAGTTTTTTTTTTTTTGGTAATGAATAAACTTTAGAATGAAATCTTAGTAAAATAGTAACGATGGTAATGGTAAAATTATTAAAATCCATAGCCAATTTACTCGTCAATTTACAAAAGAAGAATTTCAGACTCCTTTACCAAACTAATTCAATATTAACGAACTGACTAGATTACCGAATTTCACAATAAACAAACTTCCATTTAGAGTTTCTGAGGCAGGTGCTGCCTTTTTTTGGACGAAATAAACTCGACACGCTGAAATACTTACAATATAACAAGGATAACTCGTTATTTTCTAAGTACCTGTAATCAAATCGTTCGTAATAAATTTCATGCGATCGATTTCGAAAACCGCAGACACACAACTGGACTCCTCGTCAACTTCTAACAGCGAGCTCGGGCGAGCATTGTGCCATGCGCAAAGTACTAATCCTGATTGAGACTGGCGTGGCGTCATCGCTACGAAATCGCAACATGACATCGCACATAATAATAAAAAGAGAGAGAGAGAGAGAGAGAGAGAGAGAGAGAGAGAGAGAGAAAGAAATCCAAGGTTGCGCAAAGGGGCGATGAAACGACAGAAATCGGCTTGGACGAAGGGAACGATCGTTTCACCTGCGATTCGATCGTGCACGCCTGCATCACCGAGGATGCAAGCTTTTTAGTTTCTACTTTTTTCTTTTTTCTCCGTTTTTTTTTTTTTTTTTTTTTTTTTTTTTTNTTTTTCACGGCGCACGAGAGAGTTTCCTAATATCCGTTCTCGTTCGCGGAATCAAAGCGATTACCCACGCTATGTCGCGTCTACGCGCGTTCACCGGCGCAGGTTGAATCGCGATTCGCCACGGATCACGAGCGTTCTTTCCATTGTTTTCCATCCAGCGTACGAGAGAGCTCGTTGATAGAACACAGTCGTTCGCCAAAAGTGTTTCGAGAGAAACACATCGTAGAGAAACGTTTATGCACCTGTGTATGTCGCATCGCGTGAAATATTTCGGTAAGACCGCAACGACTGTTGTTAGTCTGAGACTGGAAATCTGACCATTTGGAATCAAATATTCGGAAACGCTTTTGTTAATAATAATTGAGGTTAAATTATGTTTCTATATCGTCAATTATAATAATTATACGAGTGCAAGAGACAGTGGTAAGTCTGAATTCAAGCACGTTTCGTATATTAACCATAAAATGGGGATAGCCAAAGTAGACTATAGTGTTCTAGTGTACAAAAGTTGCAATTAAAAATTAAAAATCCAGCGTATAGCATGTGAGAACGTACTGAATAATAATAAAGCTGTTTGAATATTTCTATAATGTCTATGAAATACATATTATTTTATTACAATAAATATTGACACATTGATATAATTTATTAATATAACAATACTTATATTAAATATTTTGTAATTTGTAGTATGCTTTTAAATTTGTTTGAAACTTGACCAACGTGGTAATGATTGCCAGATTTTATTGAAATTTAAGTTAGTTAATTAAGATATCAGAATTTTTATATAATAATACATTCACAAAAAGCTCCTCTACAAGTGTTTAAACGCTTTCGTGAACAACTGTAATTTAGCCACGTCTACGAAAATAGAACCCGGCGTGAAAAATATTATGTTTATATATAGGCATTACGCTGCATGCCAGCTTTGTTCTTCATTTTATCGAACACTCATATCTATGCTCCACTATGATGCCAGCGCTGCTATCTGAAATAATTATCCAGGCTCGTCTCATTACAGCAGCTCTACACACTGTTTTCTGATAACAGAGATTGCGGTCTCTTCTTTCTATATTTAGACACACACAATGGCGTCCCTGCTTTTTTCTTATTATCACTATTCATACCGATTGAATGTGAAACTTGAATGAGTGGAGAATATTCATGAAACTCATTTCATGAATATTCGTGGTATCGTGTCACGTAGACTGTGGATAATTATGCATTTGCGGGAAATTTCAGGGATAGTCTCCCTGGTGCATTTGTATAAATTTAATTTTTTTTTTTTTTTTTAATAATACTCAAAAAAATTAAGAGTACGTGCAAAAATCCACACAGTCCAGCCACAATAATTCTCCAATTAATTTGTCGCGTGGATAAAGAAAGAAAAAAAAACAAAAGTCTAATACAAAGAGCAGAGCTCTCTATATTCATAGAAGATGAATCACAAAAAAAAAAAAAAAAGAAGTATACAGAATCGAAGGAAAATCGGATATCACAGATTGAAGTATTAACGCGTGTCTAATCGAGCCGATTCGATTGAATCGCGGTTTCCCTCACGATCAGACGACACGAATAATCGATGAGGAAGTACGGGCCTTTACTTAACGGGAATTAAATCATGGGTGAACCTTCACTTCCTGCCCGGATCATTTCATACCTTGTCACGTCTTGTCCTCCCTTTCTCTCTTTCGCTCTGTCCTTCTTCCCCGCTCACGCCCTTCCTGTCCGCGCGTTCACGAAGATGTAGAAGTTCCAGGGAAACTTCCCTCGTCGAACGATATACGATACGAACTTGTACGAAAGATCTCCGCTCGAGGATAGACAGAGAGAAAGAGAGAGAGAGGGAGGGAGACAAGTCGAACAAACTTGTCTCTATCTGATTCTAGAATTTTGCAATTTAATCCCACGAATCGCGGCAACGATGTAAGAATCGTGATCGGAAACACGAAGTGAACTCACTTGCCACGTACAGAGATTTAGATAAGTATTTAGTGACAGAGGAGACTTGGTATTTGGATGAAATTGGAACTTAGTATTATTTTTGGTACTAAGGTTTAAGATCGACAGGACTTTCAAGAGAAATCGTAATTTATGTTCTCGTATAAAATTGTGTTTTTATTTATCAATTGACGATTCACGTAAGAGGAGCTATTTGAGTCAAAAATCTAAGGATTAATGACTGTTATGAACATTTGGTGGTTTTGACAATTTTGTTTAATTAATTTTCTACCATCCGTCATTTCCTTCGAGGAATAAAAATGTTTCTTTCTCACCCGTCGGCAATCGAACTCGCACGTTACCAGCAACAGCAAATGAGACATTCTCACGTCACGGAGAAGCTTACTAACATAACCTAGAACCGATCGAATTAAATAAAAAATTCCCTGGAATGTAATTTCCAAAAATTTCGATGACCGTCTCCTTGAAGGAGGAGACCATTGTCGAGCGAATTTCTTCTCAGAAAAAAGAACAATCCCCGTGAGCACCAGACGAAGGGAATACGGTGCGAGTATTATCCCTAATACTTCGATTTCCACTCTCGTCCCTCGTGAAAATCGGCCGTATCCATTGTAAAAGATGCTGGTCTCTATCTGGTAATCGAAAGACGAGTGAGATTCCCGGGTTTCATGTGTGCTTTTATACACGAAAAGAGAGACAGAGAGAGAGAGAGAGAGAGAGAGAAGGATGCACACGGACGTTCGAGTGGTCCGAAAACCACCTAAGTGGCCGAGGCAATGGCACGGGGGCATTCTGGTGGCACAGGATATCCGGAGTGGGAGTTTCTATGGCGCGCGGCTCTTTTTTCCCTCCCCATTCTCTCCTTCGTTCCGAATAAAAAGTGCCGATTCAACGCTTCGAAACGCTGAAAACACGAAGCTCGCGCAGAGAAAGAGAGAGGATACGCGGCTCGCCTCCGCGATCACCTCATTGTTCACCGTGTTCATCCCTCTTCTTTCCGCTTATACACTTTCTCTCTTTTTTTCTCTCTCTCTCTCTCATGTGTAGGTACATGTGTGTCGTTGGTACCTGTTGTGTGTGCCGGCCGTGACATCGCGATTTTACGGAAATTCGATCTGTGTTTTTGTCCAACCGGGGGATGTCCCCGTGCTATGGGGCCCCAAGGAAAACGACTCTTCCGCTCCAACCTGTTTTTCCTATTCGCGATGATGTCTTCAGAAAGTGACCACTCCTCTCTACTTTTGGGGGAGATATCTTTTTGCTCGCAAGAAGATTCGAGCTTTCCTCTCCTTTTTTATTATTATTATTATTATTATGGAGCAAGTGGTCCGTCGATGAATTAGTTTTCTCAATCGATGTTCAATATTTGCGTGGAAAATGAAATTTTACGCGTTTCGGAAATTTTAGAAATATTCGATTTTTTTTTCTATCACGAATCTTCAGAACGTGATAGCGATCTCCCTTTTAGTTTGGAGAACAGGAAGACGCAGGAGATGTTCTTTTTTGTTTTCTTACTTGGAAGAAAGTTTCCATTTGTTGTTTCATTTTGTCGCAATTAGAGCAAGGTGCAAGTAGCCTGTCGACGATTTAATTCTTTAATATTCAATTTGGAAAGTCGAATTTTACAACCTGAAACTTTATTTAACGAGATTTTAGAAGATACTCTTGGAACAAGATTCTTCATATTCTTCGGGGAGAAAATGATTGACGGTTCGATTTCAACGGTAAAATTTACATTTACAGTTTAAACGACGGCTGAAGAAGATTCCGAGCGTCGACGATTAAATTTTACATTAATATATAAGAGATTCGATTATTGAAACTGATGGAGCAATTAAGCCGCAATATTTGCACAGTGATAAACAGTAGCAATCGAAGAAGAGTTGTTTACAGAAGAAGAAGAAAGAAAGAAAAGAAAAGAAAAAAAAAAAAAATGAAAGTCACGTACCTTTCTGTAGGATCTCGAGGTGTTCCCACAGGATATCGCCCATGAAGGCCGGAGCACGTGCCAAAAAGGATTCCTTGCCCATGGCACAAATCTGTTTCCCGGTCATGTTCTGCCACGGTTGCATCGCCACACCCGCCAACGAGAATTCCCCTATGGCCCAGTGCAACCAGTGGGCGACAGCTGCTTCCGACCATTGCCTCGGATCTGAAAAAAATATTATCATCATTTCTTCATCTCGCTGCTCCCGTTTACAAGCTTGCCTTCTCTCTTTAATTTAATTCTCAATCAACGCAGCGAGAAGGCGAAAAATGTAGAAACATTATTGTAACCACGTGAGAAGTGGTTGGAGGAAATTGAAAGTATAACAAACAAACAAATAATCGTTATTTATTTGTTTTCTCATAAAACATTTCATACTTGAGTGTATTAAATTGGACAAATTCAATGTATTTAAATTGTGTATTGGCAAAATTCAATAATACTTTGTACAACGAAGAATCTGCGAGACGATAACATATTAATTTAATTGTACCGTAGAATACACTGAAGAACTTTATTATCTGTGACAAAATACGGAATATCAGAAATTAAGATTTACTACCAAGTAGTCCAAGTAAATTAAATAGTCGATCAAATTAAAATTGTACAGTTTATCAAAATTAACGCGTAGGTCTCGATATAATATTAATTAATTTTAATTAAGGGGCTTTGTGCATAATCCGAAAGAGTTCTTGCACTTTAATATTTGTGATCACAATGAGATCTGAAAAATTTCTACGATATCTCTGAAGATCCCCGAACAGTATGTGTGTGTTTGTTTCGCGCAACTGATCGGCCGATAATTCGAAGAACCTCGCGATAAATTCGCGAGGCGAGTTTAAAACCGAATCTCGCCGACTAAATGGCAACTGTTCAGGAATGATTATACAAATCGAGCCGGTGATTAAAGTGACGTTCTCGATGCTTTCAAACAGGAAACGATCGGTATCTATTCTAATGTTATCCTGACCAGTAACGTCCCCATCTTTTACGACCATTCCTCTTTCCCCCTTTTCGATCGTTTTGCTTCCGACAAGAATTTAAAAAAGAAAAAATAATGTCACTGAGCTGCGGCTAATGAAATCGAGTGACTGTTCGAATTTAACGTTTGTTAAACGTTTGTTTAACTCGCTAAATTTACAATTACGCACGCTTCGAAGGCGAAAATAAAAAAGAAGAAAAAAATTAATATTTGTGAAAGTTTTGATAATAAAACATTTGAATTTATTAGAAACAATTTATCAGAATGTCACCGTGTTTATAATAACAGCGATGAACGCCCAAAATTCTTCCTTGGTGATATTATGTGATGACAGCGTCCTCCCCTTTAATTTTTTTGCAGTATAATTGTTTGTTTCAGTTATTATTTGATTTATTAGCTCGTCAATAAAAAAAAAAAAAAAAAAAAAAAAAACATCTTAAAAAATCCAACGGTTGTTCAACATTCGATACCTGTGGCTCTGCAGGCTTTTCACCGGCCATAAATTTTATTCTCTGATGGTAATTCGCTAGATTCTTCACAAGGTGTCCATTCTAAATTATTAGAATCTTGTGGGTTTCATTACTGTCACTTTCGGATTCAGTACCTATTATTTTAATTTCTCGATTTCTTACACCTAATACTATGTCACTACTTCCATCACAGCTTTCATTTTCTCTATCACTACTCTCCCTCGTGAATACAATCGATCTTGTTTCTCGACAGTTCAAAATCAAATTCATCTTCATCTGAGCTAATTTCATTTCCGAAGTCCATTTCTTCAGGGCTTTTAAACTTAAGAGATTATAATACTTTTGCCACGATGGTCGAAGCCAAACTAACGTTGGTGACACGTTGTCGGAACCGTAGCTTCGGAGGACTTTGTTATTCAATAATTTTACTAATAAAAAAAATGCCTCTCTTTTGGCTTTAATTAAATTAAATATGAAGTAATAAAATACATTTAATTTCGATCTGAAATGATTCTTATTTAATTAATATATTCAATATAAATATCCTATTGTTCATTCTAAAATTAATGTAAATAACATTATATAATAAAATTATATTACATAATATTAATATATTATCTTTACATAAAATTAATGTAAATAACATTATAAATATAAATAATAAATATAAATAATAAAATTATATCAATTACACAATAAAAATTAAAATATTTATTATTAAAATAAAGTAAAAATTAAAATATTTATATATTAAAATAAAAAATTGTTGGAATTAATAAAGTGATTTCGATATCAAAAATTAAAAATAATAATCCAATTAAAAAAAAAAAGGGTATAGAAAATGGTAATATAAATGGTCTCGTCTCTTGACTTTAAAAGGGTTAAGACGTTATACGTCCATCTATTAGAGAAAAAAGAAAAAAAAAAAAAAGAAAGAAGAACGCAATTACTTTTTGGCCAATTGCAATAGACTTCTTCGCTCTAACGAAACGACGTGTACAGGAATGGTGGCGAGAGGTAAGAAAGGAATGAGATGGTAGAGGCGAGGGACAAAGGCTTTTCGAAGACGAGAGAGATATTGCGCCGGGTTGACGACATGATCGGTACTCGGGCCCCGGCCATCTTTGGTAGAAGCAATACCGAGAAACATTGGAATGTCCCATTTGAGGTGCGCGCCCATATTTGCACGCGTGTCTTGCATTGTTTCTCGCGGTATCTTCCCGCGTAAAAGTACAGTTCGGCTCATAATGCAAACAGATATTACGGCGAAACCGTCTCTCCTCTCCTTCCTCCTCGTGCCAGAAGAATTCGTCGAAAACGTGCGCAAACGAACAACGCTATGATTTTTAATTCTCGACTGTTTCCCAATTTTTTTCCCCTCCCTTTCAACACTTTCACCGGTCGTCGTCGCGACGTTCGATGCAAATATATCTTTTTATCTCATTTTATTTATTTATTTTTTTTCTTTTCAAGATGATCTTGGGCAACGAGAGCTTTCTCAGGAATCTCAGAATTCTGCTGTTTCACGAGTTTCACGAGGCGAAACCTTCGCACTGGAATTGAATTCGATCTCTTCGCGTTACTGGTGAACACTTTCCCCGGCGGGATATTTGAAACGACAGTCGCGTGTACGCACTAATATCACTTTTACACACATACTGTAAATAATTGTAGAATTTTTTGTCATTGTACTGTATTAATTCGACTACTGTAATGTACTATAACTGTAATCGAATAATACTGATCTATGGTATGACTGATCTCAGACCTTCTGTTTGAACTAATTTAAAAGACACGGCTGCTCTTGTCAAAGTTAATATTAATTTCTGTTCGAGCAGATACACGAGCGTGCAAATTTACTTATTAGATGGAATTGTTTTGATACGGCCATTCTGGTGTCGACAAATATTTTCATTTATTTATATCGATATTTTTCGACCAAACTTAGCACATACGCACATGTATGTATATACGCCGCGAAGAGTGGAAAAACATCGTGTAGATTTCCTTGTAAAACTTTCAAAGTGCGATTTACAAAGAATCGCAGAAAGAATTTGCAGAATCGTTAACAGCGACGCTGTTGTTTCATTACACCCGTTTCCCCCCAAGTTTCGTTAGAGACAAAAGTTTCCAATAACAGAAACGCCACGAATAATAAAATTCTGGAATAGAATCCTCGAGCTAATCGGTCGTTTGCAATTGAAAACAGTTTCGGCTTCGTCACTGGAAACGAAACGTCGCAACGTCTCATGAATAATAAATCGAATCTCTCACGTGGCGAAACATTTCTCATCGGATACGACGGATAATGCACGATAATATAGAGTTTTATCTCATCGTTGACATGGAATTAACCTTAAATACCCTCCCTCTTTCTTTCTCTCTGTTTTTCCTTTGCCCCCAATGAGAAAAAGAGTGGACAAGAAGAATGTTCCTCTCGTTCGGAATGGTTTTTCTCGTTTCGACGATAATCGGTAACCGGCGGGCGCGGCGATCTGCATGTTCCTCACTCGTCCCCACGGCCGATGATAATGCAGAGAGAAGAGTAATCTAATGTAATACAGGACTTTTAACTCCCACCCGGCTGTTTCACCTTATCTGGCCGGTTGTTGATTACGTCGTAGGAAACTAATTGCATAGATTAGCCTGTTGCGGCACGGTTGATTAAAAGCCGTAACCAGCGAACGGGAGAGTGGCCGCGAGTGAACAGCGAGAGGTTCGTCTAAACCGCGCCGATATCCGCGCTCTGTAATCGCTTCTTTCACCCCCGCCGTTCACCGTTTACCGCCTTCGTCGCCAACTCCACCGTCTAACGTGAAAATTGCATCAGCCTAATTGGAAAATTAAATTGGAGAACGAACTTGAGACTTTTCAACGCGCGAAATGACATTCTTTTTTTTTTTTTTTTTTCTTTCAAAGTTCGTCTGTCATCTGGGAAAACAGGCTGCAAAAGGTAACTTTGGAGAACTTTGGAGGATTTTTCGCCTCCCATCTGGGAAGCGATCCTGCGCTTCTTCGAAATCTCGACACGTCACTGATTTAAGGAAATAAGAAGACAGTTGCAATTCCATCCAATTACAGCGGAACTTCCATTTATCTTAACTCGGGGAGGAGGAAGGAGGAGACAAACAGTTTATATAATTGGAGTTCGCATAACAGGAGCTCGCCAATTTTCCGCGCTACACGCTGATAAACAACAGAGGAGCTCGCCTATTACCGTTTAATTACAATTCTTCCAGTTTTGTCCCGATAGCTGGAGTTCAGATATATAAAAAAAAAAAAAAAAAAAAACTCTCTATATAGACAGGGATTTCGAAATGCTCCAAAATCTTCTCTCCCGCCGGGAAGGAAACGAAACATCTTGACTCAAACCTGACCGCTTAGAAGGTGGTTAAAAGGGAAATAAACGCGAGTAATCGTGAAAGAATGAGCGGAACGAAGCTAGATAGAAAGAAAGAGAAAGAGAGAGAGAGAGAGAGAGAAAGTGGGAGAAGCATCACCATCGCGCGAGCAAGAGGGAGAGGAGTCTGTTAACAGTGCTGACAAGGAATAAGTTTGGCAAACATCGGCGCGATCCTCAAATATCGGCGGCCGCTTTGATCGTGCCGTGCCGTTAGACACTCGCGCGAGCCACAAGAGTCCTCTTTGCTCTCTCTCACCTTTTCCTCTATTTATGTATTGTCGCCGCGGTGTGCCGATCCCCTCGAGCCACT